ATAAATAAACGTTGAAAAAAAAAATTAAAAAAAAAAAATGGAAGAGACTTGAGCAAGTGAAAGAACCAGTTGGGAGAGACTGAAACTGAGAATAGGGACTAGTTGCTAAAAGGCCATCTCTAAGTAGTTGAGATCCTGAGCACAAATAAAGAGGGATTTGCTTTTGACCATGGAGGGGATACCTACCACCAAGACTAGAAGAAACAAAGTCAGAATAGGAAGAATACAGTGATAATAATTTAGAGGGAAAAGAAGGAAAATTGAGGGATTTTCAGCCTGATGACTTTTAACTTCTCAGTGTAGTTGGAAGCAAGGTCATCTTCTAAGAGCAAGCAACCAGATAATAGGGTAGAGGGACTGAAGAGATCACAGAGGCTTGAAATCATGGAAATGGAAGAGGTAGCTGACTAGGAGCATGCATTTGTGGTGGTATCAATATAGCTGGTTGTGTAACAGCTCAGTAGCTCTGGTAGAGGAGATGAGAAGGTGAGTAGTTGGATCAACCCAGGCTTGCAGGGGTCAAGTTTTCTTACCTTCCAGGGTACTCTTTATATTGGGAATCTAGTATTTCCCAACTGTGTAGTGTTCACTCCATCTCTGGCCTTCCTCCTTGGTGATAATAGCTACTATTCAGTTAGTCTGAATCTTCCCTTCCCTTCTCTTCCCCTATCTCCTTTCCTCCCAGGGGTCACTGTACAAAATACAAGTAATTTACCTGTTAACAGTATCATCTCAATTATAAAATACCATACTCAGTTCTGTCCCTCCATTTTCTTTCATGTGTATTTCTATTGCCAAAAATGCTCTTCTTCCTAGTCATTCATTTGTTCATTCATTCCAACAATAAATATGTATTGTACACTATTATGTGCCAGGTATTGTGTTGGGATACATTGTTGAGCAAAGGAGACACAGTCTCTGCCTTCATGAAACTTATTGCCTGGTGGGAGAGACAAACACCAAACACGTATTCATACCAACATATCATTATAAAATGAGATAGTGTGCTATGTAGGGTAGTATGACCGTATGGAACAGGGTCTTCTGTTATACATCTAAGCTGAGAAGGCTTCCCTGAGGTAGCAATGTGTGAGCTGAGATCTCAGGGATTGAGTAGGAAAAGAAGGAAAGAAACAAGGAAGAGGCATCCAGGGAGAAGAAAAACCATATGTAACAAAGTGTAGTGGTTAAGAGCATTGACACTGGAGTCAGACTGCCCACATTCAAATTCTAACTTTATAACTCACTGGCTATGTACGTTGGGCAAGTTCTCTGTGCCTCAGTTTTCCTATCTATAAAATGGGAATAATTATACCTGCTCCATAGGGTTTTTGTGAGGGTTAGATGAATTAATACATGGAAAGCACTTAGAACAGTGCCAGGCATATACCAAGTCTGAAAGGGTCCTGATTTAGGAAGGCATATAGTGCCCTTGAAGAACTGACAGACTGCCAGTGTGGCTAAAGTGGAGGGAGCCAGGAAAGAGTATTCCAGTATGAGACTAAAGAAGAAGCAGAGACCTCATCAAGACCTCACAGACTGTGTTAAAAATGATCTTAAGTCGTGTGGTACTATTCATAATTTATGTTTTTAAAAGATGAGCTGGCTGCTGTGTGGAAATGGATTATAGTGGAGCAAGAGTGGATTCATGGAGACCACTTTAAGAAGTTACTACAGTGTGGGTTGCCTGGGTGGCTCAGTTTTTTAAGCGTCCAGCTCTTGGTTTTGTCTCAGATCATGATCTCACAGTTTCATGAGTTCGAGCCCTGTGTCTAGCTCTGTGCTGGCAGCGCAAAGCCTGCTTGAGATTCTCTCTCCCTCTCTTCTCTCTGCCCCTCCCCTGCACACGTGGTCTCTCTCTCAAAATAAACAAATAAACTCTAAAAATTTTTTAAAAAAGATGGGGCGCCTGGGTGGCGCAGTCGGTTAAGCGTCC